GGGGGGTGGGGGGAGGGCCTTGATCCAAGCTCTGGTAGAAATAGGTGGACGGTCACCTGACCTTCGATAGAGGCACCCACAGCACAGCGGTGGGGTGGCTGAGGGTCCGGGAAATCAATGGTTTTGGGACAACAGGCTACCAGTGAGGGGAAAACTTGAACTTGACCCCCTCCGTATCCAGGAATTAATCCGAGATGGCTCATAGGCTTAAATTCGAAAACTAATAATAAAGCTTCTGGAAGAACATGGTCGAGAATATTTTCATGACCTTCAAGTAGGCAAGAGGATGTTAGGCGGCTACAAAAGGCACCAACCACAAGGAAAAGGTTAAGAAACTGAAAAGCAAAAAAGGCTCCACTTCATGAGATTCTGGGAACTGCCGTGTATACGGCCGCACGGGAAGCCCACCCAGAGCTCCAGGCCAAACGGACTGAGCAGCAGAAATGTCACCTGGCAACGCTGAGCCGGGGCCTGAAGTGCTCCCAGACACGGTCGGGGCGGAAGTCGGAGGGCGACTGGGGAGATTCTCAGATGATGGAGACACGGAGACAGTGGAGACAGTCACAGACACCCCCCCAGGGACAGTGGGGAGACCCCCAGAGACAGAGGGGAGACCCCCAGGGACAGAGGGGAGACCCCCAGGGACAGTGGGGAGACCCCCAGAGACAGAGGGGAGACCCCCAGGGACAGAGGGGAGACCCCCAGGGATAGAGGGGAGACCCGCAGAGGGGAGACCCTCAGAGGCAGAGGGGAGGTCCCCAGAGATAGAGGGGAGACCCACAGAGGGGAGACCCGCAGAGGGGAGGCCCCCAGAGGCAGAGGGGAGGCCCCCAGAGGGGAGGCCCCCAGAGGCAGATGGGAGGCTCCCAGAGGCAGAGGAGAGGCCCCCAGAGATAGAGGGGAGACCCCCAGAGGCAGAGGGGAGGTCCCCAGAGATAGAGGGGAGACCCACAGAGGGGAGACCCGCAGAGGGGAGGCCCCCAGAGGCAGAGGGGAGGCCCCCAGAGGGGAGGCCCCCAGAGGCAGATGGGAGGCTCCCAGAGGCAGAGGGGAGGCCCCCAGAGATAGAGGGGAGGCCCCCTGGGATGTCCCCGGAGAGAGAGAGACTGTCAGAGACAGTGCGGATGCCTCCCGATGTCTTCCATGGGTTCAGCTGAGCTGTTGGAAAGAACAGATCGGTGAGAAGAGGAGACCACGTCCCTGGGTGTTCACCCCAACGCCAGCACCACTTCCGCCGGCTCACCGAGTGTGGCGAAGGCCTGCAGGCCCAGGAGCAGCGCCCGCGTGGTGTCCATGCTGCCAGCCAGGTGCCTTTGCAGGCCCACGGCCCTGGCTTTTAAAGGCTCCGGAGAGCCAGGTGTGCCAGGACCTCCATCAACACCGGGATCTCCGTCCCCAGGGAGAGGCCACCAGCTGTCCCCAGAGGATTAGCCCGTCCCAGCCTGATCCCAGGAAGCACTGGGCGAGGGGGAGCGTGAGTAAGAGCCTGAGGACTCCCCTACCTGGCCCTCGGGCTCTTCCCAGACCGGGGACCTAGCCCCCAGCCTGAGTCAGCCTCCCACCCAGACCCTCCTGGAAGGGAGGGCCGGTGTCCTGCCCCAGGGCCTCCGCTTGCTGCTGGAAGTACAACTATTGGGGTGAGGATACACGGGTCTCTGGGAGAAGCAGGAATTGGGAGCTGGGTGGGGGTGAAGGACGTCCTGGCCTGGGGATCGCATCTGACCCTCAGGAGACCCAGGGCAGGGCGGGTGGACACCTGAGTCCTCCCGCATCCGACGCTACAGCCCAGAGCGCCGTTCCTCTGGTGGAGAGGAGCAGCAGGGAGGATGCCACCATGTTGAGGGCGAGTGCACTGTGGAGGTTCAGGGCCCAGCTCCGGGCTAACTGCCCGGAACCCATGGCCTCCCAGCTGTGCGCTCGGGCAAGTCACAGATGTATCTTCACTCCTCAAAGGAGGTGCTCTAGCCCCAGTTTAAAGGGCCCTGAAGGACGTTACAGGGAACGTGTCGCACCCGGCACAGCGTCCGCCTCGGACGGAGACACAGGTGCTCCCGCTCCTCTGAGGAAGCTCGGCCGCCCCAAGCGTCTCTCCAGGCGCCGGCCGGCCACTGCACCTGCTGCCCTTCCTGCATGTCTTCTTCTAGCGCACGTCTGGGGTCCCGCGATGTGTGGCAGCGTCCCCTCCGCACGTCTGGGGTCCTGCGATGTGTGGCAGCGTCCCCTCCGTCTCTGCTCCAGTCTCCTGTGCTGGGCCCTCTGGTTTTCGGGGGCGGGGGGCGGGGGGTGAGAGGTTACATACAGAGGCAAACAGGAAGACGAAGAGGCTTCGTGACTGGTGTGTCAATCCTGTCCGTCATAATGAGGAATGAGTTCGAAGCCCTCTGCTGCTGCCTTGCTGTGTGACCTGAGTAAGTTATTCACCCGCTCTGGGCCTGATTTCCTGGTGGTTGTTCTTTTTCCTGGTTTTAAAAGAAAGATGGTGAATTGGATGGGCTCCGAAGCTCCCTCTACACATCTGCGCTGGGTCTGCCATGCTGAGCGCCTGTGCTGGGAGGATGAGGGGCCCTTTGCCTGAACCGCAGGGGGAGGGGTTTGATGAACCCAGGCCTCCACCTGAGTATCTGGGGTGTTTGGAGCCACTGAAATCACTCAGCGAGGAAGCTCCCATTGCCTAGACTTCTCACCTAGAAAGTCGCTGCGCCTGGCGGAGTGGGCACCTGGTTTGGGAAGAACCCACCCCTCCCTTTGGGCCACATTCCTGAGTCCTTCGTGGCATGAATGACGGAAATTAATTGTAGTTAATAATTAATCCCTAATGAGCGATGAGAGCCCAGGCCTGGGTGAGGCCCAGACAACCTGCAGGACCGGCATCCATGAAGGAGGGTGAGGAGGGACCAGCCACTCTTCCCCAGCAGCCCAGCGAATGGCTCTCTCCTGGGTCCTCAACCATTTTGTGGAAGAACTGG